GCGGAACTAATATCTGTTCTCGCAGGAAAAATGATTAAAACGTATGTTTGCACGCGGTGGCTGTCATGGGCAAGGCTGCAGTAATAAATCTATAAATTTTATTTTTTTAATATATTATATGCACATAATCTTCTTAAAATATATTAGTTAGTTTTGTGATACAATTGTTTTACATTTTTAGGATTTTGAACTTGAAGAAGATTCAAGTGATGAAATTAAAAACAAGAGAAATTTGATGATTTGTTTTGAGAAAAGTAAGATATAGGGCATTAACATTTTAAAGAAATTTACATTTGTCTCAAAGTTATTTTAAAAAATTATGTTTTTTTTTTCCTTTTTTTCCCATTTAAAGTTACCAACAGACAAAAGTTATTACATTTTGAAAACAAAAAAATATATTATTTTAACGCTTTTACACTTTTCAAACGTAAATAACTTAAAAATTAGTTGTTTTCAAGACATAGTTTTTACATATAGTTTGTAAATATTGATCAGCATAAAAATTTCCATCCAATGTTATTTAATTAATGAAATTTTTGGTACTGTCAAAATTGACCCTTTTTTTTTTACCCTAAATTGCCCCAAAAAGGATGTTCCCATAGCGGAATTAATGGAGTTTTTTTTTACGCACATTTACAAAGACTGTCTACTTTCACTCTGCAAAATTTCGGTTTTATACCATTTTGTTCAAGTTCTACCCTATTTTTCGCTAATTCTCTCCTACTTAAATATGAAGAAATAAACATAACAAATAGTAACTATAACATGATAACTTATTATAAATTATAACTAATGAAAAAATTTTGGTAAAAATAGTTATAGCAAAGTTTATAACTATGGCAGAAATTATTAAAATAAACATTACAGCAAAAATTAGGACAATAACCATAAAACAAAATTTTAAGGCCAATTTTTATTATTATTTTGATAGGAAGTAAAAATTAATAAATGGGGGGGGGGGTCTAAATAAGCTTGGGGTGGGTGAGAAAATTTCCAAAAAATAAACGCCCCCCCCCTTGTTTTAGGGACTCGAGGGTAAAATTAATGTTCATTAAATATATGCTGAAATGAAAATCTCTTAATTTGGTTTCGATTAAGAAGAAGAATGTTGGTAATAAAAGGGTATTTAGCTAAAATCTTTTTTTTAATGAACAGTATTATTTGGTTTCAGTGAGAAATACATTGATGTTTCATAGAGAGCTTGCCATATTTGATAGTGTTGAAAAAGGAAGAGTGCAAGTTAAAATTTTCAGTATTTCGAGTGTAGTATTTGTGTGTCACTTGTTTTAAAAAATTAAACGAATTTAGTAGTTTTTTTTGAAGAAAATCAAACACAAAGAGACAATTATAAAGCTTTACAAGATCTTGAAATTTTAGAATTTTTAATTCAGAAGACCTATTTTAAATATTAGATTGTAAAGGAGAAAATGTCATAATTTTTTTGGAAGTGCGTTGTAAACTGTTTATGCGATTTAATAGAAACTACCTTTTTGACCCCAATTATCATAACGATTTCAAAATTAAGTTAATAATGCTTTTGTCACACACACACACATACTTATAAAAACATAATTATATAATTTATTAAAATAGTTAATACCTAAATTATTTAAATGTGCAAGCAAAAAACCTATTTTAGGAGGTTATATCTAGGTGACTCAATGTTTTATATATTAAGTAGGGTAGAGCAGGGCTAACTGAACATAGGGGCAAGCTGGGGAACTAAAATATCTCAAAAACTACTCATCCCATGGCAAAACATCTAATGGATAAAAGATAGGTATTTAGAATGGTAACAAATGCGCATCAAATAGTTGTTGGACCGCGGTTCAGTAACATGCACAGACGCTTTTTCGATTTTGGACCAAAAAAGTAAAAAAAAATATTTTTGCTATTTTTCTCTTAGATGCTTAAAAAAACATTTATCTGGAATCACTTAAGTGTTTATATTTTACCCATTTATTTAGCTCTTGATTATACTTATCCTTTTTTCCCCAAGTCTTATAGTTCTTTTTATAACCTAACTGATGTGTTGCCTAGTCTAGTAGGGGGGTAAGTTGAGCAGATTTGACAAAGATTAAGAAAACGGCTTTATCAGATGCGAAGATAAAATTTCTTTTGGTGAACATTTTAAGGTCCATTCACACTTTTAAATTAATCATTATAAAATACTCATAACAATTATAAGATAATATCTGAAACCTTTTTTTTTTAAATATGTATTAATAATTTTAAATTATTTGATTTTTTAATATTTTTAAAATATTTTTACTTCAATATTACGTGGTCAATAAAATTTTCAAGTTGAAAAGTTCTTGAATAATTTTTTTAAATTAATCTTGTTTACTATGTTTATTATGATAATATTATGATAGTGTGCATATTTAAAAAACATATAATTTATATTTTATATTATATAAACATATTGATTATTTATATAATATATAAATAATTTATATATATATTGTTTAATATTACTACACACACACACACTCATACACACACACAGATATATTATATATATATATATATATATATATATATATATATATATATATATATATATATATATATATATATATATATATATATATATATATATATATATATATATATATATATATATATATATATATATATATATATATATATATGTATATATTATAGGATGTGTAATTATAAAAGAAAAACTTCAAATGGTGCCTTCACAAGCCAACAGCTTAGTGATGCAGCAAGTTCTGTTTTGGAGGGAAAAAAAAGTGTTAGTGCAGCTGCTAGAGAATTCGACATCAAGAGAATGACATTAGCAAGATGTATTTTAAAACTAAACTCTGGTGGTTACCCATCCATGGGTTATTCAAAACCTAGATTAATTTTTTCCCATGAGCAAGAAAGCGCCTTAAAAAATTATTTATTGCAAATGGCATCTATATTTTACGGCTATACTCCTAAAAATGTTCGATCTCTTGCTTATGAGTGTGCTCTTCAATACAAAATCAAAATACCAGATTCTTGGACAGTAAATAAGATGGCTGGTAAAGAGTGGATGACTAGTTTTTTAAAAAGAAATCCTCAATTATCTATAAGGAAACCTGAAGCAACTAGCCTTGGTAGGGCAACATCATTTAACGCTGCAAATGTAAAAGTATTTTTTGATAAGCTAGGTGAAGTTATGGATAAATTCAGTGCTTCACAAATATTTGTTAATAATGGTCCACCATTGGGGTATTGTATTGGGGTAGGTAATGGACTGTATTGGGGTAGGTAATGGAAGTGGCTGGGTTACAGATATTGAATTCAAAAATTTTATACATCATTTGATTAGGCATGTGAAGCCTTCAAATGAATATAAAATTCTGTTAATTTTGGACAATCACTCTTCTCACTTGCATTTTGAAACACTAAACTTAGCAAAGGAGAATGGAATAGTCATGTTGTCTTTCCCACCACACTGCAGCCACTAGATGTATCAGTGTTTGGACCTTTTAAAATGTACCTATCAATTGCACAAGATACATGGCTGAGAAACAATCCTGGAAAAGCCATAACAATTTATGATATACCCAAAATTGTATCTGATTCATTGCCATTAGCTATAACGTGTACTAACATTACAAAGGGTTTTCAAAAAACTGGTGTATACCCGTACAATGCAAACATTTTTGCTGATGATGATTTTTTACCATCATTTGTCACAGATTGTATAGAACCAGCAAATCTTGTTTCTGAGCTATCACACGTAACTCATTTTGAAGTATGTTTAACATCATCTTCAGGTCAATCTGTCAAAATTAGTATTAATAAAGAGACAATGTTACTTATTCCTGAAACTCCTAAAGCATTTTCTCCAGAAACTGTGCGACCTTACCCAAAAGCAGCAACAAGAAAGATACATTTGACAAGTTGAAGAAAAAGGAAAGCTGCTTTTCTAGCAGATTCTCCAGAAAGAATTATATTAAAACAGCAGCAAACTAAGAAACCTAAAAAAGTTGAGAAACAAAAAAAATTATCTACCTGTCAATTCCTTTTCAAATATTAATAAAGAGTGTGATAATAAAGAGACTCAGTTACATAGTATATTTTAGAAACAAACAAAAAAAACTGAGAAGAAAGAAACTTTAAAGAATCAAAAAAAAAATTCTGCCAGTCAATCCTTTGCAGATCATGGTAATAAGGAGCTGCTTAGTATATTAAAAAAAGTTAAAAAACAATCAAACAAAAAAACTAAGATGGCAAGTGCAGAACACGATTATGCTTGTCTTGTATGTTGGGAAACTTATTCTGTCTACTTAGTCTACCAGAAGAAAATTGGATCCAGTGTCAAGGTTGCAATAATGGTCTCATTCAAAATGTGATTCACATTCTGGTCAAAATTGTATTAACTGCAAAATGGAAATTGAAGACTAACATAAAGTGTTTAGCTATTATTTTATCATAATATTAACAAGTTCTAAAATGTTTTAAAAAAGTTGTGTTTAGTTTTAAGATTAAAAAGTTTTGTTTTTATTTTAGTATCAAAATTATTAGTTTTGATATTCATATCTTAAATATTTTGTTAAAATTGAAAGTATCTATTTAATTTATAAGAAAGTTTTGTTTTGGTTTTATAACAGTGTTAATAGTTGTCACTGAAATGCATTTATTTTTTTATTGCTCAACTTACCCCACGCAATTGCTCAACTTACCCCGCTGGGGTAGGTTGAGCAGCCTAATAAACTTCAGACAATATTTTCTAAAACAAATCGAAAAAAGTTTTTTTGTCTCAACCATTTTTTAGCAGATCAAATTATCTTTCTAATAGTGAAAAAATTATGTTAATCGGATGTACCGTTCAAGAGATCTGTTAGATTTAGTAAAAATTGCCCAACTAGCCCCACCCTACCCTAATGTCTAAATGTTTTTTAAAACATATGATGAATTGACTTTCATATACAATTATATTTGTAACTAAGTTTTACAATTATATTTGTAACTAAGTTTTAATTATTATTCAATTTTAGGTGTTCTTATTGCTTGGATTTACTCTGCCGCTGGCTATACTATGGAAAAAAATTTTGCATTTGTATATGGCGCTGGTCAAGCACTTGTATTATTTCTTGTATCGTTCATACATCTTTATGGGTTGCTTTGAGACCGATTTTAAGAATCAACACTTAGTGATTTCAAGTTTTGGCAATTTGGAAGAATCGACATTTTAAAAAAGTAATTTGCAAACAATGCATTACACAGGTTTTTCGCAGAAACTTTTTTACAAGTATTGCGACAGACGTTTGTGGCAAATTTGAGGGTTTTTGCATTTGCAACTCAAGTTCTACTAAAAATGAAAACAAAATATCACATTGATTAACATCGAAAATGCAGAAAGCATAAATGCTTTTTGCATTTTTGATGTTGGTCACTGTGAGTCAAGAAGAGAAAATAAAAAATTATCGACAATTTTTACGTTTATTTTTTATTTTTAAAATATTTATTACAAAAAGAATTCGCATCAATAATGTCACTGGTCAAATCATCTGCATTAGTTGAGTCATTATTTAAAATTTTATGAAAAAAAATAACATTAATTAAAAATTGTTATTTTCATTAATGTCAGTGCTAAAAAATAAAGATGCCACGAATTATTAATGTAATTTTGTTGAATCTAGATAATTCTGCTTAACTGAAGTGCCGAATATTTTAGACATTAAGTATGATTTATAACAAAAATCTTATAACAAAATAACTTTAACATTATTCAAATCTTTTATGATTGGTGGTTTTAAAAGAACTTTTCGGTTCTTTTCCGCTATTCAAAAAGATGAAAATTTAGTCACATGGTTTTTTTGTAAAAAAAATATATTTATACATAAAAGTTTTACTAATGAAATATTCAAGCAGTTAGTTATATATTCAAACACACATGCTAGTTATATATTCAAACAGAATCTCTCTCTCTCTCTCTCTCTCTCTCTCTATATATATATATATATATATATATATATATATATATATATATATATATATATATATATATATATATATATATATATATAAATTTTGTTTAAATAAAAAACAACATTATAGTACTTAAAGTTTCGTGCCGTACACGGCAATTAAATACATATAAAAAATCGTTAGATAAAACCAAAATCTTTTACAAATGAATATATATATTTATTTATTTACACTTAGGCCGATAAAAAAAAATTTACAGTCGTAACTTATAAAAAAAAATAATTACATGACCGGGGCTAGAAGAAGACAAATTTAGTCTTATCATTAAGCCCCAAAATATGCGTCATTACTATACAAAATATAGTTTGACAATAAAATATAGTTTCAATGTATATATCTCTGATTTATATTATAAAAGAAAATTTAAATATATCGCATATCGTTAAAAATTTATAGTTTTTCAAAGAATAAGATTTAACAATTGTTTTGTAAAATAAAAGAAACAAAATTTAATAAAATATTAAAATGACAAAAATAACATTTAAGACTTGGTATGAAAAAATAAGAAGATATGATTTTATATAAAAACATTTTATTGGTAGAGCATTTTATAGTTTAACTTATTTAATTATATTTATAATACTTTTCATTGCCAATTAAGTAAAAGCAAATAAACAGTATAAAATAAAAGTAAAAGATTAATAAATAACGCAAAAATAAAAAATAAATTTCTCAAAAAGAAGATTATCATTTAAAATAATAAAAACATATGTACAATTGTTGATTAATTATGTATTAATAATCTAAAGTAATTAATTAATTAACTATTAATTATTGATTTCTAATATAAAGAAGTTTTATTAGAAAAAAATTTAATTCATTTTCAGTTAACAAAAGTAATTGCTTAAGTTTTGTTTTGAATTGGTTTAGAGAATAATTAGTTTACATTTCATTATTTAATATTATGTTCCACAACTTTGGTCCTCGGTTTACAATAGAGAATTTAGTAGCGGAATAATAAGTTTTGAATTGAATGTAGTTAATTTTTGGATTGAATGTAGTTTGGATTGAATATATATAAATATATATATATATACATATATATATATATATATATATATATATATATATATATATATATATATATATATATATATATATATATATATATATATATATATATATATATAAACAAAATCTTTTACAAATGAATATATATATATATATATATATATATATATTATATATATATATATATATATATAAACAAAATCTTTTACAAATGAATATATATATATATATATATATATATATTATATATATATATATATATATATATATATATATATATATATATATATATATATATTAGGGTAGGCCAAAAACAAAAAAATTTGAAAATTTAACATGTCTGCAAAAAAACGTGATCCTTTTCACATATGAATACAAACTATAAAAAAAAATTGGAAAAAAACATCATTGAGTGCTGCCGAATTTGATTTGATTGTTTTTATTTTTAGTCTAAAATATGTCAAAATTAGGATTTTTTAGGAAAGTGAAAAAAGATTAGGATTTTTATATCTATAGGAAATATTTGTTATTTGAGGCTGTTCATTTAATAGACAACAAGTTTTTGACCCTTTTTGAACTTCCCCTATGTATCATTTTGTATTACTTGTTTATCAACTCCTCCCCCGCCCCCTCTTTTATGCGCAGTGCTATTATTGTTAAAAAAGATATATCTCTAAGTAATTTTTTGCTAAAAGTTTACTAATTCTGCTATTATAAGAATTGTAATTCGCGTCACATTGTAGCTAACTACCCTATCCATGAAATATTTGGTGACACTTTCAATACCCCTCCCCCATATGGGAGGGGTTTACCACAATACAAGTAATAACTGCTTTGAAAACTCCTTTTTAAATGATAGATTGCCTGAATTACAGAAGAGTTGATTAATTTGGAAAAAAATTATTTGGGGCTATTCAAATAATACGTGACAGTCTTATGACCAGGTTAATGAAAAACAGAAAAGATAATAAAAAAGCGGTTATTATTTATACTCAGCTAAATCAACGAATAATTGCTTCTTATTACAATTGCCTACAACTTTTCTGTGATTTTCAACCACGTTAAAAACTTCGTTTCGTACAGCCTCGTCCTTAAAATAAGAAATTTTATTTTAATCTGTTCTAATAGTAAACTTTTATGATTATGTAGATTTTTTAATTGCCTTCTCAACTCATTTTACGGCTTACCTTTGTAAGTATTTGGAGATAATCGGAACACAACTTAATTTCTCTCTCAGCCGCGTCATTAGTCACGTTTAGAGTTTTGATAAACAGCTTCATTTTCAAATAATAAGCATTGTCGTCCCATTCTGAAGAAGGAATTTTGAGCCATTTTCCATCATCTTTTAAATTAAGAAAAATTAACCAAGAACCAAAAATTTCCCAATATAAGAAATAATATCGGAATTTTTTCTAATCATTGGAAGAGTTGGTTTACCGCAATTGGTACCAAGTGGTTTTCCGTATTCTAGCATTTTTTTTGCAATTTTATCTTTATCATTTAGATAAAGTTTATTTGAAAATAAACTTAATACCGACACCTGCTCGGTTAGATAACAAGAGTGTCTGCTTAAAACATATTGAGCTTTTTCAGCAGGTACACCGAAGTTCGGAATACCTTTAAGTGCTTCTAGATCATTAAATAATTTTATATCATTAATTGGTGCATCGCAAGCCTTTTGCGCTTCTAACCAAGCTTTAATATAAATGGCTGAGCTAAAAGTCAAAAATATTTTAAGGTTTTTTAAATCAGATTCGGTTAAATCTTTTTTAAATATTAACATCTTTGGTGCATAAAGCAAATGCGCCATCCATCTTGCATGATGGTGAGCACCACATGTTTTCCATTTCTTGGGCTCTTCTCCACCTAATAGAAAAATTGCTAGTTCTGCAGCCTCTTTGTAATCGTCTCTTGGATGATGCTTAGACTGCAATACTTTTTCTAAGAAATTGCGAGTTTCATTTGCTTTTTGTTTTAAGAATGAATTTTCAAGATCAAGGGATCTATTTGAAAGTTTGAGAGGAATTTTTTTAGAGTGAAACCATTCTTTTTGAAAATTTTTAAATTCTATGTTATCATCAGATGATGTCTCTTTTTGAAATAAAGCTTTCCAAAACGACCCTAGGACTAATTCTAAAACATGATGACGACTTGCAATCAAAGAAGCGTTTTTATAGATTTGCATTCTTCAAGAAGAGTTGCTGCTCCGATTCTTACTCCAGTATTACAAGCCGTTGTATCGAAAACTTGGGCAACAATATTATCTTTAAGATCCCATTTTTCTAAATCATCGATGATTCCTTTACATATAGAATGTCCTGTGCCTGACTGAATAGGTTTGATAAATAAAATTTTACCTTTCTCGCAGTTTGGAAAACCACTTACTAAAACAGTTAAATAGTCAAACTTTTTACCAGATATTTGCTTCATAAGTTTCCCATCCCAGTGAAGAGTTAAATAATCTAATCTAACTTTTTTTTTTAATTCTTCAATTGTATTTCTTGCCATAATTTGTCTATTTTGCTTACGTCCTCTTCTAATTGTGTTTAGTGAAATATCTACATCATTAGCTTTAACACCACCTAAAAAATACATAATAAAATTTTTCTTATCAACTCATCACACTAATTAAAAACTCATGAAACTGATTAGTGATTTAAATAACAATAAAAAATAACCTAGAACCAGGATTGCTGAAACATTCATCATAAGCTGTGCGTTTGATAAGGCATGCTATCGGAAAAATCTGCCACCTTTCTTGATCAAAAAAGGATGTAAAAAAGCTTAAATGTATGTAAAAAAACAAAAAAAATTAAGTTTTACAGAAAATTCTGACTTTCTTTTTGATGCCTCCCATAAGTTTCTGGATAGAGTGATTTTTGTAAGTTTAAGCAGCATAATCCCATTTTTTCTTCAAATTTGTAGCTGATTTTACTGTTTTTCCACTTAATACTTCTATAAGCTTAATTAGTCGTTTTATACGAGAAAGACAACATTTCACGTATTCCGAAGATTTCATTGTGCCCAAACAAATATGAATTGGCGATTTTTTGCCGCAAGAGCAAAGCGCCTGCCAAATCATCAATTTTTTTGAAAATGTATCACTCATTACATACTTGTATTTATCACTCACATTTCCTCTTATTTTAGAAGCATGCTTCTGGGCAGTGCTACTATGCATAGTAGCACTGCCCAGAAATTTGTTTAAAATCCATTTTAACATAAGTTTCGTCATCCATCAAAATGCATCCGTTATGTTTTGTTAACAAGTTGTCATACAACTTTCGAGCTCGACTCTTTGCGGTTGAATTTTGTTTATCGCTGTGATTTGGCATTTTAACTACTTTAAAACTTTGATGTCCAAGTCTCTGTCGCCATTTGTGTACAAAAAAATTGGAAACCTTCAGTTTTTTTGCTCGAAATCTATCAGA